TACATTGCAGCAGCCACTAGCTGTTTCCACTTGGCGTTTCCGTCTGAAATGCTGGATCTGTACCAACAAGGCCAAGCAAAACTAACAAAGGTCAGATCAAAGGAATGGAGCTACTGGCCTTTTTCAGAGCCTCTAATTGGCATAGAAGAAAGGAAGCTCTCAACTGGTTTGAACTGTCATCGGGAGTATTCACATAGACTGAATTGCGTCCAGTGGTAGTTGCATTGTATAAGCGCCTGGTTCAGCGCAAATCATCTCCTTTAAAAATAAAATGCCTTTTACAGCCTGCTTTCCAGGTGGTAATAGTGCAAAACCAATGGCAAATAATTAAACTACTCTTGTCTCGGGCTCTTGGGAAAAGGGGGATTGTAGTGTTGCCGCTCTCTGTCATGGATCGTTTCATAAAGACTAACATTAGTTGTGTTCTAAAACCAAGTGAGCTGCCTACTTAGAAAGCATTTTAAGGCATCATAAACATGCTCCTAATGTGAAGGCAACCTTGTAAGATAAACTAATTTTGGCCAAATTCTAAGGTCCAAGACAGCAGCCAATTCTACGACATTGAATAAAAAATTAATAAATAAATATACTTCATTTATACCTATTTCATTCAATACTGTACATTTTTATTTAAAAAGAGTTTAAAGTCTTTTCTAAAAAATAAATTTTGACAAAATTATCCAGTATTTGTTTGTGCGCACTGTGTATTTTTTTGTAGGGTGACCATACATCCTCTTTTTCCCAAATATGTCCTGGCCAGGATTTGTAAATTGCCTAAAATATCTGGGTTTTGACTTTGTTTTCCTATTGTTTTCATACTTGCTAAAAGTAGTGTAGTTTGACCAATAGCGTTTAGGAATTGTACATAATCAACCAATCGTGGTGTGCTAATAAAGTGGGATCTACGGAGAAAAGTCAAAGTTATGCAAATAATGGTACATGTAATGTATAAGGACAGTAGAGAGCACATCAATAGGAAAACAAAGCCAGAACCCAGACATTTTAGGTAATTTAGGAATCCTAGACTGGTTCTGGCGAGAGAAAGAAGACGTATGGTCAACCTATTTTTTATGCTTACCAGTAAAGAATTCGTTTATAAACAAAGTAACAATCAAACTGTATCATTTGTAAATCTTGTGCGCTTTGTGAGAGGAGTGCTATTTGTATGGTGGTTTCATTTCACTTAGAATGCAGCCTATGTAGACAGTAAACGACGTTTTAGAACAGTGATATTGACTTTCTGATCCCATGACTCTGATATGTAAATGTATGCACATATATTGCAAGTTAACTAGTGTTTAAAATGCAAAACAAACCTTTGTATTGAAATTATCTTAAATATGAATGTATGTTTTAGTGTAATGCAATGCATATCTTCAGTTTTACTTTCCCTGTCATTAGGATCAGCTCAGAAAATGAGCTGAATTGTGTTGTATGTGTCTATTTCACCAGCAGGGGGCGAAAAATAAAATAATAGGCATCATTCCAGGAGTTTGTCAAAACAAAGCCTTCTGCAATTACTCTTCAACGTCAACTAGTATTATATTACACTATATGCACACTTTAAAATAGCTTTTTATTACTTTGTTAAAGAAAATGCTCTGTGAGAGTTAGCACCTATGAGTCACAACTCATATCTTCCAATTATCACATAAACAGCACATTAACACATGCTTTTTTGACAGGTGCCAGCATATTTTATGCATAAATTATACTGTTTTCTAAATTATTTTTAGCAGATAGAAGATGCACATCATATACAAGTCAGATGTCCCAATAAAATATGCATTGCTAAATGCTTAATGTATTGCTAACAAGCACAATGCATAACTCCACATAAATTACAAACACACAGTGACTCTTAATTAAAACTGATTCACTAATGCTCTTTTTATATTTTCAGACTTTGCTTCTCATAAAGCCATAAAAAAAAGAGAGAACATTTTATGAATTCAAAGCCAAGTTAAAGCTCTGTGCTTCACTGGATAATTGCTAATCATCATGAAATGACCAGACCACTGATCTATAATAGAGAACTAGATTGCTCATGACATCATAAAAGTGAAGTCACCGCGCCACCATATTGATATTCCCTAGTATTCCCATACATTCTATTGAATTAATAGGAAATCGTACGATTTTAATGAGAAAACATCTCCTAACGAGTCAGCGTTATTATATCTGAAGTATCCATGTACATTCTTACAACGCAAACGTCCTATGCGCTTAAATGGTTATTTGTTTAATGTCGGAAATTTCCCCTGCGTATTAAAAAGTGATGTTCATATACATTACAGTAGTACATCAGATGAACATGATAAACATCAGATCAACATATGCATTTCAAACGACAAAGTTCTCACAAAATCTGATATAGATTTATGCTTTGTATACGTTAATTCGACATTAAGTAATTAATTTAGACTAAGGATTGTATTGTAATATTTATTGTATATCCGAATCAATTTTTGATACTAATACCAGATATATGTTCATGTTTAATATTTCCTGCATAATTACGTGCACAAAGAAATATATTTTGTGTTGGATCAGTTACCTGTGTCGGCAAGTGCGCAGCAGACACACCCACCTTAATGATTTCAATATATCACTTATTCTGCCCAAAAAGACCATAAACATGGCAGATAACATGAAGTAGCTATTAATTTACATGCACATATCCTAAAAACTAATCCTGTGTGACTGATACACATCAAATCTGGTGATTTTAGGTCAAGGTTTTGGCTGTCAGTCAATGATGCTCTCTGCCGTTAGGGAATAGTAAGATGGCTGATCGAACACTTCTGGTGGCTTCACCGCCGAATGGCAGTTTAGAACGCAATGAGCAATCCAGTCATTATATAAATCAGTGGACCAGATATTGAAAAGCAGAACTGAGTGTGTGTGCATGTGTGAATGATATCAGTGTATGCTCTCTGCTCTACTATGTGTGTAGTGGCTCTCATGTAGAAGGACCCGCAGTACCACAAGAGTGTTAAAGTACAGCTCTTGAGCTGCCTGCCCTCACAGTATGTGTGTTATGTGTGTCCGCCTCACACTGCAGCATGCCATTGAGGACGCCATCAGTCTTAGATTGGGCACTTATCGATCTGAGAGTGTGACCTGTGTGGATTGCTGTAGCCTCTGTCACGCCCTCTCTCCAGGAAACGACCCGCATCTACTGCAGCACATGAATACATAACTCACAAAACGCAATGGATTATGTACACAAACACACACCAGAACAAGCCAAAAAGACAGAGAGAGAGAGTGTGTACAGACAAAAAAGATATATATATATATATATATACAGGTGCATCTCAATAAATTAGAATGTCGTGGAAAAGTTCATTTATTTCAGTAATTCAACTCAAATTGTGAAACTCGTGTATTAAATAAATTCAATGCACACAGACTGCAGTGTGTGTGTGTGTGTGAATTAATAAAAAGTAATACGATATATAATTAATATAAAATGTATTAATATATATTAATACAATTATGTTAAAAGGTTATATGAAGATAGATAGATTAATAGACAGACAGACAGACAGACAGACAGATAGATAGATAGATAGATAGATAGATAGTTAGTAGGGGTGCAACGGATCTCGGTAAAAAATCGAACCGTACCGTTCTCCACACACGGTTCGGGTGCTGTATGTTGGAATAACTGTCATTTATGCCGTCATCACGTGTTGATAGCGCAGGTGAGACCAGAACAGCGCACGTTGCTATCTGTGTTTAAACTAAACTCATTTAAGCCTGGCTAGTTTAAATATTAAAGACCCAAAAGACGCAAACTCGCGCGCGCAGTGAGAAGATCTCTGTGTGCGCTCATCGGAAGCGTGTGAACCGCGCAAATATTAAGCTCTCTTTGAAGTATTGTGCTTGAATGGACAAATTCACTCAAAAATTATGTCAAAATGCCCGTCTTGGTGAGTATCCTAGCAGACATAGTCGGCTGAACGTACTGTATCAGTGCACTGGATCAGTGCGTTCTCTTAAAGTGACAGCACTTTCTTAATGTTTATCAAACAGCAAAAACACGGAAATCACTCACTGCTCTTGATTGAATAACTTTTGTAACTTTAATAAGGATTAATCTTTAATTTATACAGTCAAATATGCAATGTTATTTTACATTTGATTACTTTATTCAATTTCTGTACCTAAAAACTAATGTTAGACCTACCTAAAAAAAAAACACAGTTTATTTTATTTGTATCTTTGCCCTATTGTATTTATTTGTGCTGTTGCTTGTAGTTAGATTATTTGTTATCTTCATTATTTTTATTTGACAATATAGTTTTTTCCCTAAACATAGCACATACCGAACCGTACCGAAACCGTGACTCTAAAACCGTGATACAAACCAAACTGTGAGCAAGTTGAACCGTTGCACCCCTAATAGATAGATAGATAGATAGATAGATAGATAGATTAGAAGTATTTTTCATGGATTTTTTTTTTTCTTTTTTTTTTTTAAAGATTTTAATAAGAATCATTTTAAAATTCCATGGTAGCCAAAACATCTCTGATTGGTGGATCACTCCTAAGAATTCTGGGTAATATACTTCTTAACTGTGAATTCAGCTAATAAACACATTCTAGTTTTTACCTCAGAGCTCATTGTAGGACTTGATGATTTATATGTTATTGTAAAAAAATCTATCCTTTTCTATTGACCCCTTTTTTTTTTTTGTCATTTTATTTTTTTTTTTTGCTGTGAATAGGCCTAAAGAGAAGTGTAAGATTAGAATGATTCTGTTTCATAGAGTGATATATATATGCACCATATATGTACATATATTTACATAAAATTGATGTAAAATGCATAACACATTTTTATCTCCAGAGAGAGATAGAGAGCAAAATGTGCTTAACAGGCAGACAGCACAAACTTTGATTTCTGGGTAAAAAAAGAAAAAATATCTCAGACTGGATCTGTTTCATCTTTCTGACAGAAGACCTCTGATGTCTCTTTGTTTCTTTTTCAGCAACAGCGAAGGCTGGATCTTCTGACCATCACCAACCCTGGTGAGTATGCATATTTTGGTTTGTGTGCATGTGTGTTTGTTATTCACTGCACAGCACACCACACAACAACATTGAAAACTTACAATGGGGCTTTACGGACAGGATTGTCTGTTCACATGGGTTGGTTGTGGGGGCTTTGTGACTTCTTTTACTTCTCACAACAAGCATCAGCTGCAGACCAAGAGAAAAAACCTGCAAAAAGAGGCCTTTTCCTGCGACTTGTCAGCATTTACGCGATCTTGTCGTAGCACTCCTGGCATGCCTGTCCCAGAGCAGCAGGTACAGTCTGCGCTTCTGGGTCTCTATGGGAAGCTGAATGTTTTCTCAATGCATCTGGGTGAAAGCTGAAACTGCATTCAGAGCTCTGGGAGAGACAGATGGGGTAGCCAGGAAGGATGCAGCCCCCATATGTCTAAAATATCTGGCTGCTCTAATACACTTTGATTAAAATAATGTTTATGTAAGGCACATGGAGTAGGCTAATTTTCCCAGCTTTGCTCAGCATCTGTTACCCAAAGCCACACAAGACTGTGCCGCTGACCTTCACAACTTCACAAAAGACATGCACGATGCAACATGGTTTTTAGCTTACCTCGTTTCGGGTTATATCACGAAAGTGACTTTTTTCCCACCGTACTCTATAGCCCTTGCCATTTTGGGAGGGTAATTTTGCTGATTTCAGCGTGCAGTAAAACTCCACAATTGTGCACAAGCAGACTGCAGAGGGGCTCTGGAGACCCATTGCGCTTTTTGCTGATCTAGAACTCCCCGAATGCAGTTATTAAAACTAACTGTTGAAAGAGCAACTACTAAACCGGTATTAGATCACCGAGCTACAGATGGGCCTAATGACTTATTGATGAGGTGAACAGGGTATTTTAGTTGCTATAAATGAAGAATCACTGCTGTAAATGAGCTCATCTGTTCCTGTCTTCCTCTGTAAGCATGCAGCCTGGCTGCCTATTAGGATTCTGTGTGCAAAGTGTATATGCAACTACGGTAACCTCTGACCTGCATTTGTCCTCACTGAGTGTGACGGAAACTTGTTTTCCTGCTCTATGGAAAGCAGCTTGCATTTTTAGATGAATGAGACAGATACAGCAACAGGACATTCCGACCTAATGCACATATTACATAGGTGTGAGTATATGTGAGAGAGGGATGATAAAAATTAACATACATGTATCCATAGTCCTTAATGAGATCAGGCAGTGTCCTTCCCGGTGCCCTTGGAGGTCTTTTCGGAGTACACCGAGTGCCAACCCCTCAGTAGATCAGTGCCGAGGGGGTCTCGGTGCCCTGGCCCCCTCATTAGCTCTCCTGTGTGAAGAGTGCTTCCCACTCAACCCCTGCCAGACCCTCTTTAATTGGACACTTGAGCAGCACGATGTGAATCTGGCTCCATTGAAGCCTGACATTTCAAACAGCTGACCTTTCTAAGGCCAGAACAGCTAAAGAATGATTAGCCATCACAATGAAGAATGCAAACTAAACACTACGTACATGGCAGAAAAAAAAGGATGAAGGAATTCTAGAATGAAAGGACTACAGTTGAAGAAAATACTAGTGAATATATATATTCATTCCCAGTGGAAAAATTCCCAGCAAAATGGTTAAATATATGCAAGAAAGAAGAGACCAGTAACAATTCAGTCTGCAGATAAATGCAATAAAGTAGACCAATCGCAATTCATCAATTCATGATTTTAAATGGCAGACATTGAAACAATATCAAAAGGAAATGTTAAGACTTAAATCATATATTTCTGTCAGGACCACTATCGTCAAAGATGATTGACAATTAGCATACAGTTTGGATTGGCGGTATGGTTCCGTTCTGGGCAAGAACTCCCTGCACATCCATGCAGCCTAGCATGGATGAGAGCAGGGAGAGCAGCGATAACCCCCCTAGGGTAAACAGAACGGAACCAACATAAATGTATTGCAGATATCGTTAAAGTTCAATAATGTTATGTACACATTTTAGAATTAGTCTGATTCAAAGGAGAATCAGAAGGCTGAATCCTGACTGACAGAGGAGGAGTTGGGGATGGAGGAGGGTAATTAGCTATCGAGCAATGCGAAAACTGCTGATACTACTGCGGGACCTTATATATGAATACTTGGATAGGTGTCGTATTCCCATAGGTTGATGGGGATCAGCTGAGAGTCAGCTGATGCGAGCTTGACTAACGTGACCTGCCAGAACTGACGCTACGCTAGATATTTTTAAAACAGTAAAGTTTTAATATACTTTAATATTTTTTAATTGTATTTTAATATAAAAAAAGCACACTAAATCACCTAAATAGATTACCTAAAATGATGATAATAATTATAATATATATGTATTTATTTGTTTGTGTGTGTGTGTGTGTGGATAAATAGTGGGCTAAAATTAATACAATAGAAAATTATGCATATAATCACAATTTTGCTGTACATAAATAAAAATACTATTGAAAAAAAAAGAAGTAAAAAGGAAGGCAAAGGAAAAAAATCTCTGTCAGTGGAGGAAGTTTGGGCACTGTGATAGACTTGGGGTTGTGGGGGTTTGTGGGTGCATTGTGTTTGGAGCTTAGAGGGCGTCCGCGGCCAGAAAATTGAGTTCAGCCATCTTTTCGGAAAGGCTATTATCGATCTATTGATTTGAATGCCCTTTTCATATCTGCATTCTCCGTTACGTTATTGTTCAGCTGGACAATTAACTTTGCTTGGCTAGTGTTTAGTCTCTGTGTCACTGCCCCTCCATGGCCACCATCTCAGCTGCGTTACAGGAAAAAGGTCAATTACAATTACATTCATGAGACTTGGAGAGATGTGCAAGCTCACTGTTCTGAGAACAGATATTAGACAACCTTCAGATCTCCTCAAACGCTGTGAGCTCTTGTTCTGTGCTAGACACACACACGCTCACACATGTGCTCTCATGTCTTCATCTGTGGATATATGTAAATGATCTCCGTAATGAGAGCCTGTAAAGGTTCCAAGTCTGAGAAAAACAGCTTTCAATACTGTTGTTCTGTTCAGCTGCTCCTTTATTGACACGTTTACACTGACAGCTCAAAGTATGAAAATAAACAAATTATGATATAAACTTTTACTAATTAGAATTATACTCTGTTCATACTCTATCAATTCATAGATAAAAGACATAAATATATTCTTAAAATGCAAATATATTCAAATATAAGATAAGTATGTGTGCGTGTATAGATAGATTATATATATTAATATTTTTTGGTCTCCATTTTGAACAATAGTGTTTATTATTCTAGATTTCAAAACTGGACAAACATATTTTTGTGGTGTTTTGTCTAAAAAGTGTGATTATGCTCTGTTTAAAACAAATGCTACTTGGTTTGATATTTTGTTAAAATAATTTAATGCAATGATATTTAGTTACTTAAAACCAATATTAAGTACCAAAGACTTTTTTTTTTATGTTGATAATGAATTTGTAACTTTTTTCAGCAATAAGTCAGTCAAAGCCTTTTGCATTACAGTGATTTTTTACGACTGTAACACGCACAGTAAGGTTTATTGCTTTAGTGTATTTTGCATAAGAGCGTTTGGCCTAATGCATAAGAATGTCACATATTCAATGAATCCTTTCTTTTGCTGTGACTGGCCTCAGTGGCCCTCTGGTATAAATGTTTAAAACACTTTCTCAGCCTGTTCCACCGCCCTGCCTGAGCAAATGTGTCCCTAAATGCTTCCTTGGCCATTTCTGTGATGGTGTCTGTATGGCATCCAGCAGTAAAACAGGTCTGAGCCTGATGGTCTCTGGACTGGGGCCGTGTGGCCAGACACCCTGATGTTTGTGCTTTTGTGTCTGGCCACAGCAACTCTGGGCCAAAGCGGCAACTTGGACAGCTGCACCTCTCAGTGGCCAATACCTGCACCAGTGTGATCTGCCTTTAATGGAGCAGAGGGACCAAGCTTGGCACAGAGAGACAGAGATCAGTGGACAGAGAGGAGAAGATATAGTGCAAAGTACAGCAAGCGAGGCTGGGAATGATCATGACCCATTTAAACTTTTCTGTGGACATTTCGTCTTAACATCCAGTTTAGTGACTGAATGATGGAAGGTGGTTAAAAGCGAATACAATGAAACAAATAAATAAATAATGAACAGCGGTTGGTAGAATCCACACAGAGATAGAGAAACCAAAACGTCTGTTCGGCTGCCTCATGCTGTCTATTTTCCAGTTGATTTTTTCCAAATGCACACAAAGGAGCATAGCGAAAGGGCTGTGAGCCTGTTAATGAAGAAAGAATAAGAGCGTTAATGTAGTCTGGAGGAGAGAGAGAGAGATGGTGTGTGCCGCTAGTCTGGCTTGGAAAATATTTGTAAAATATGCATCATTAAACCATTATTTAAAAACGTGTCTGGAGCCCAGCCTTGAAGCTTTTCAACAACTAATGCCTCTAGTTAATATCCCCAGCCATGCAAATATCACAATTTCACGCCGCCTTCACATAATTAGCCATGGGTTTTTCTATTCGCCGTGTGAAAACAAAACAACACGCTAAAGATACTAAATGAAAATGCAGTGTGCTGTTTGCTATTAACTTGTCTTTCTCTTTTCACGGCTTGCCATTTGTACGTATGCGTGTTTGTGTGCGCGAGAAAAGGGAAAATATGTGGGAAAATGTAAATAGTGTTTTATCAGGCTTTCTGCGGAGACAGACTAGACAGCGATGACTGTTTCGTTGTCATCAGGGCCACAGCCTTTGCCAAGTGCAGCAAATCCATAAGGGGGGAAAAAGAGTGAGATTTCAGGTTGGAGGACCTTTTGTTATTTCCTCCAGTGGCAGCTGGTGCTTTTCAAGAGCAGGGAATCACTCATCGATGACAAAAGGTGTACTGGGATCTGTGTTTTTATTTGTTGCTACCGAAAGCTGCTTCACATACTACTAAAAAGCAGTGAAAATACTTAATAAACATAATTAACCAAGCTAAATAACTGCATCTATGTTTCGATGTTGACCATCAG